CTCCCAACCCGCAGCCGTCCACTAGCCCAGCGCTGGCCCTGTCTTGAACACATCGCGTAGCCCATAGGGGCTAGTTCGCCTCCATTTCATTGCGCGGTAACACAAGGGGCAGCTACGGCAGTTGGACAAGGCTTGAGGCCTGTGACGCTGGCCCTGAGAAACGGCCGAACGGTGACCCCCCACGGCAGCCCCCTGGACCCTGGCACGGAGGAAGATGTCGGACGACTCCCAGGCTGTTCTGCACGGGACGGGGGCGTACGGACGCGCTGCGTTACCTCCCTCTCCCTCGCCGGCTTGGCCGGGATCCCGCAGCCAGAGCGGGGCGGCTGGGACCCCGGGGGTCCCGACTGTACAGCCAAGCCCCTGCCCCCCGCAGAGCGAGGGCTGGGGCTTCTCGGGGAGTCAATACCGAACGGACCGGTGGGGCAGGGACCCTGGCTGAGATCCAGCAAGCTCCTGTCGCTTGTGAGATCTGCTGCGTTTTGAACCCCACCGTATCACTCTAGCCCCACCCCGCCCCCCAATCCCCTCCCCACGGGCTGAGAGCTGTTGCCTGGGCCCCTACCCGACCCTGACGCTACCCCCCTCCCTGGCCCAGCGGCTGTTCCCCTGCTCCAGCCCACAGCGCCCAGCGCAGGCTGCCTGGGATCTCGGGGGGCTGGCCGGCCCCCCCATACCTGCTCCAGCTCGGCGCCGTTGGGGGTGGGGGGCAGGCACTCCAGCCTCACGTGGAGGCGGCCGGATTTCACGTCCTCCAGGGGGAGCCACTGGAAGGAGAAAGGCAGCAGGGGTCAGATCTCCCTGCCTGCCCCCTCCCCGCCCGCCCCCCAACGCTGCCCCCAAGGGCCCCGCGAGCTCCCACCTCGTCGATGAACCGGCTGCTCAGCACTCGCTTCAGGGCGATCTTACACCTGGGGGGAGAACACGGGTCAGTTTGGGGGGAGGGCCCCCCAAAGCCGATTCACGCGCCGGAGGGGCCTGCAGACCGGGCAGGGGGCGCACAGATGCCCTGGGGAGGCCCCAGGGAACCCCACGAGGACGCGAGTGGAGCAGGTGGGGGCTGGGAGCCCCGGTTCGGTTCCTCCCCCCCCCCCCCCGCCCGGTTCCGGTCCCGACCCACCTGCCCAGGAAGTCGTCCTTGTCGATGTCTTTGTCGTAGATCTCGAATTCCACCTCCTGGCCTGGGACCTCGTTCACAATGACCTGGGGGAGGGGAAACAACGGGGGGGGTCACCAGAAGCCCACCACCACCCAGCTGCGTCCCTGCTCCCAGCACAGTCCAGGGGGAGGGGTGGGGGGCTGGGAGCCAGGACTCCTGGATTCTCTCCTCGGCTCTGAGAGGGGAGTGGGGGCTGGTGGATGAGAGCAGGGGGGTCTGGGAGCCAGGACTCCTGGGTTCTCCCTGGCTCTGGGAGGGGAGCGGGGCCTAGTGGGTTAGATGTGGCGGGAGGGGGAGGGGGGCTGAGCTAGGACTCCTAGGTTCTACGCCCAGATCTGACCGCTGCACGACCTTGGGCGGTCCCCCCCTTTGTGCCGTTCCCCCATCTGTAGAGTGATGGATGAGACACCGCCCCCCCCGCCCCTCGGGGGTACTCGCGGGTGGGGGAACATCTCTCTGCCCGCTCCCGGCCTAGGCAGGCTCAACCCGGCTGGTCCCTCGGAGCCCCACGGGAAGAGGAAGGGCTGTGGCCGGGTGGGGGGAGGGGCACCCCAGGGCTCTCCCCAGCCCGCGCCCCCCTCACCTCGTAGACCTCGTTCCAGCGGGGGCTCAGCTCCTCCTTGATGACGTGGCTGCGGAAGCTGTGCCCGCCCAGCCGCACCTTGGCGTACGGGTCCGACTTGCCCCGGATCATGCCGCCCATAAAGTTGTCCTTGGCGATGAGGTTCTCAGCTTCCAGCAGGTGAATGCGGATCACGCTCTGGGGGGGGGGGGGGA